ACATTTATATATTAACCATACCCATACTTCCACACCGTTGGATCTAAAAACCTAGACGGCCCAGATCTCTTTGGCTTGAAACGGTGTCGTTTGGGTTTGAGGTGGGGCTGACCGGATAGTGTTTGGGCTGGTCTGTTTGGTCCGTTTGGGCGGGTGTTTGAGACAAAGGGTAAATGTTTTGGGCTGGAATAATGCAAACTAAATTGGCCCAATTTCTTCAATTCATTTCAATTCCTTCTTCTCTTTTTTTTTTCCTTTTTCTCTTCTTTTTCCCTTTTTTTTTCAAATTAGATAAAAATCAAAAAAATAATTCCTAGAACTGATTATCTAAAAAAAAAACTGACTAAACCTACAGTGATAATTAATACGATTAATTAACAATAAATTAACGGAAAAACTACTCAAAGTCAAAGCTAAAATTAAAAATGCAAACTAAACTATTTTTTTGTGATTTTTTGTTTTTATAAAATCCTAATTACTAATTAATCTAAAATATGTAAATTAAGTTCTAAATGCAAATGCAATATATTTTTGTATTTTTCGTTAATTGAAAATGACATAAGTATGCACAAACAAATGCAAATAATTAACAAAATAAAAATCTCACGAAAATCCACAAAATTGCAAACACTGAAAGAAACTATTTGTTTTGAATTTATGGGAATAATTCATATAGGACAAAAATCACGTGCTCATACTTGCTGAATCACAACAGAGGTAGACGAAGCTTACGAAGAAATGCTAGCTGAACTTGCGGAGGATTCTGCTTCGCCCGGAAGCAGTGATGACCAAGCTTCTTTTCCGCCACCGCCAACGGAAATTCCTCCGAACCTTAATGAATTTATGAAGTTTGTAAGAGATACCATGTAACTTGTATGAACAAAAATTAGTATGTATTATGTAACTTGTATTTTGGCACATCTTGATTAGTTTCTTTTTCTTCTCAATGGTGGTATTAGCACCTTGTTGTGCTCATTCCATAGGGGGAGGAAAACTAAGAAAGATATTGTCATGTTTTTTTAATGCTATAATAAAATTATAACGCATTGCTTTGAATATCTCTTTACAATAATTTTGTCTTTAAATTTGAATTAAAAAATTTAGGTCACAATTCTATGATATAATTTACAAGGAATTGCCTTAGATATTTTTATTACCATCTTTTTTTCTCTAACTTCTGAAAAAAATTAAAAAAAATATCAGTTGGGACCACTTGGGCCCGGGAGCGGGCCCACTTAGCATGGGACCATTAGTTCGTGGGCCCGGTCCCGGGCCGGTTCCTACAAAAGGACCACCAAAACCGGGATCGCGAAGCCCGTTTAAATTGCGACCGGCCCGGGACCGACCCACATGCCACCCTTATATGTATCAATCGGACATTTATCATTGATGTCATATTAAAACATCCTCACCTCTTGTAACCAATATATATTCTTTATTAATCGGACATTTTTCTTTGAAACTTTGTAAAAGACTACAAACGGGTACTACTTTACATAGGATTCTTTTAACACGAATAATGACGAAACATTTCAACAAGAAAACTAAAGTCCTCGTGCTTTGAAGTAGGCCGTGCATAATTTGGTAAATACCGAATTACCGTACCAACAACAACAATAACAACAAGTCCAGTAAAATTTTATGAGTGGGATCTGGGAAGGTATGCATACTTTACCCCTACCTAATAAAGGTAGAGAGACTATTTTTGAAAGATTCTCGGCTCAAAAGAAGTGAAAATGAAGCAATAAACAGACAGTAGCAACAACCAGGTAATTAGACATGGTCACAAATGGAGATACGTGCAATAACAGATATCTAAAAATATGACACTAAAAATAAATTCAGTCTTACTAAAAATAATGACACAATAATGACATGTTAGGCTAGACATAGCAAAATACAAGACTAGTACTACTGCTATTGGGATGCCTAAACGAAACTCCACACTGTCTGTCAACCCACAACCCAAATCCTCGACCTCCACACCCTCCTATCGAGGGACATGTCTTCGGTAAGCTGAAGTAGCGTCATGTCCTGCCTAATCACCTCACCCCAGTACTTCTTAGGCCTCTCTCTACCCCTCATCTGATCCACTATGGTCAACTTCTCACACCTCCTAACCGGAGCATCATGGTCTCTGCTCTTCACATGCCCGAACCATCTCAGCCTCGATTCCCCCAACTTATCTTCTATAGGAGCCACGCCTACTTTGTCCCTAATATACTCGTTCCTAATCTTATCTCTCCTGATATATCCACGCAACCATCTCAACATCCTCATTTCTGTTAATGTCAACTTCTGAACATGAGATTTCTTGACTGGCCAACACTCAGCTCCATACAACATGGCCAGTCTAAATACCTTTATAGACCTTAAGTCTAGGTGGCACAATCTTATCACACAAAATGCCATAAGCGAGCCTCCATTTCATCCATCCCGCTCTAATACGGTGTGCGACATCCTCGTCGATCTCCCCGTAACCCTGTATCACATACCCAAGATATTTGAAACGATCTCTCCCGGGGATAACTTGTGTATCCAGCTTCACGTCCACTTCTGCTTCATGAGCCCCAACAATACACTTACTCTCCAAGTACTCAGTCTTCGTCCTGCTCAACTTGAAACCTTTAGACTCCAGGGTACGTCTCCACACCTCTAGCCTAGCATTAACCCCAAAACGCGTCTCATCAATCAGCATTATGTCATCTGCAAATAACATACACTATGGCACCTCTCCTTGAATATGTCACGTCAACACATCTATTGTCGGGGCAAATAAAAATGGGTTAAGAGCTGATCCTTGATGCAACCCCATCTCCACTAGGAAATAGTCTGAATCACATCCCACGGTCCTCACCCGAGTCGTAGCTCTATCGTACATGTACTTAATCACCCTAATGTATGCTAATGGAACATCGCTAATCTCCAAACATCTCCATAAACCTTCCTAAGGACTTTATCTTACACTTTTTCAACGTCAATAAACATTATATGCAAGTCCTTCTTCTTCTCCCTATACTGTTCCATCAACCTCCTTACCAAATGAATGGCTTCTGTAGTCGACCGCCCTGGCATGAAATCCATTTCTCCAAAATAGACACACACCTTCTCACCCTCGTCTCCACCACCCTCTCCCAAACTTTTGTGGTGTGACTCAGCAACTTGATACCCCTATAGTTATTGCAATTCTGGAAATCACCTTTGTTCTTGTGCAACTAGACTATTAAACTCCGCCTTCACTCTTCGAGCATTCTCTTCGTCCTAGAAATAACATTAATCAAATGAGTAAGCCACTTCAAGCCTTACCGGCCCGCATTCTGCCAAAATTCCATCGGAATCTCGTCTGATCTGGTCGCCCAACCCCTACTCATCTTTCGCATAACCTCCTCAACCTTAATATGTCTACAAAACCCGAAATCACGCTGGCTTTCCGAGTCTTCCAGCTTCCCAAGCTCAATGATCCTATCCCCATCCTTATTCAAGAGCTTATGGAAGAACGTCTACCATCTGCGCCTAATACACGCCTCATCTACCAAGACCTTACCTTCCTCGTCTTTGATGCGCCTTACTTGGTCCAGGTCCCGAGCCTTTCTCTCTATAGCCTTGGCTAATCAGAACAGTTTCTTGTCACCGCCTCTGCCCCCTAGCTCCTCATACAAGCGCTCAAATTCTGCAGTCTTGGCAACCGTGACCGCTAACTTCACCTCTTTCTTAGCCTTTTTATAAAACTTCATATTCTTCATCCTCTCCTCCTCATCGGCGTTCTTCATTAGTTTCACATATGCTGCTTTTTTGGCTTCTACTTCTCCTTGAACCTCTCTATTCCATCACCACTCCCCTTTGTGGCCCCCCGAGTCGCACTTCGTGCCCCCTAGCACCTCTCTAGCAGCTTCCCTAATGCAGTCCGCAGTCGTGGTCCAAATACAACTAGCGTCCCCACTACTCCTCCAGGCCCCCATAGCCAACAACTTCTTCCCTAATACCTGAGTTTTGTCCTTAGTCAAGGTTCCCCACTTGATTTGACTTGATCTTAGGTTGCCCGTACACTACTCTCCCCTTCCTTTCTCTCCTATCTCCAACTCCAGTACGAAGAGCCTATGTTGGGTCGAAATCCACTCACTCAGTATAGCCTTGAAATCAGTGCATAAGCCTCTATCACTCTTCCTGCAAAGAAGGTAATCAATATGAGACCTGGCCACCGTACTCCGAAACGTGACCAAGTGATCCTCTCTCTTCTAAAAGCACGAATTAGCAACTAACAAATCAAATGCTTTGGAGAAGTCCAATAACAAGGTATCGCCCTCGTTCCTAACTCCAAAACCGAACCCACCGTGCACATCCCCATATCCCTTGGCTGACTCCCCAATATGGCCATTAAAATCACCTCCTATGAATAGCTTCTCAGTGTGTGGAATACCTCCCACCACTTCATCCGAATCCTCCCAAAATCGAATTACCGTATCGAAACCGAAAATTTTGGTATTCGGTATAGTATTTGGTTTAATTTTTTTTTTTTAAAAAAAAATTAGTATTAGGTATAGTATTTGGTATTTTAAAATGAAATACCGATACCATACCGAAATATATATTTTATAACACAATACACATATTATTAATTATAACATAAATAAAAAATCAAAAAAATACTTTCCTTTATTCTCTAAGTTCATCAATTAATTCTAAGTAAGTAATAAGATATTTCTATTAATCAAATTTATTCCTTTATGTATAGTTTTCTCTCTGGGTTGATATTTGCTTGTTTTGGACAAAACTTTTGTCAACAAACGTTTTCAGTTTTGTACTTTTGAGTATATTAATTACGAATATTACAGTCTATGACTCTATGCACTAGTTAATATTCAGCGGTAATTGCACGCTCTTAAAAACATTTTCTCTCTGGGCGTATGATAGGGTGAACTAACGTGCACAGGGATCAAAAAATTCCTAGAGGAAGGCCGGCGAAGGTGAACAAAGTAGCAGGGAAGAATGTAGCGGAATTAATGAAGGAAGCCATAGGCGTAGAGGAAGAAATTCAGCGGAATAGAGCTATTACGCCATCACAGGATACAGGGCAAAGGAAAGATAGCAACACTCCGGTGAGTACACCAATGCAGGTATAGATCCAACAAACAACAACTGCTAACTTGAACGGGAAAGTAAGAATCGAAACAATTGAGAGTAACACAGTGACTGAGAAGGTAGGAATTACAGTCACAGATTTGGGGAAATCGAATGAACTAGGGAGGAAGGGTGGGGTGATTGAGAGTGCACAAAAACAAAGTGAAATTGTTGAAAATCAAGTAGCAGAGAAGACGCAAACATGGGCAACATTGTTTGATGGCAACAAATTTGCAGCTAGAGGTATGGAATTGAAGTATATAGCACCGACTATAGTTGAAGGTGAAGTGGTGGCTCAATTGCAGCAAGAGGAACTTGATAGAGAAACTGGAAAGTGGAAGCAAGCATTAATAATGTACGTAGTTGGAAATTCACCTACTATAGCAGCAGTTGAGAGATTCATTGCGAATAATTGGAACTATACAGCGAACCCTAAAGTGTATTATCATAATGAAGGCTTTTTTCTGGTGAAATTTGGAAGTATTGAAGACAGGGATGAGGTGTTATTCTCAGGCCCTCACACAATGAACAATAGGCTAGTAATTGTGAAAATTTGGGAAGCTGGTTTTGACTTTAACAAGGAAGTGTTAAGAACGATTCCACTGTGGATTAGGATGCCTAATTTACCGCTGAATTGCTGGAGTATGGACTCCCTAAGCAGGATAGGTAATGTGTTAGGGAGACCTGTCTATGCTGATGAATGCACAACAAATGTGGACAGGGTTTCATATGCAAGGATGCTTGTGGAGATGGATGTTACGAAGCAGCTGCCAGACATGATAAAAGCAAGAGATCCTATGGGAAAAATATTTGAGCAGGAAATAAAATATGACTGGAAGCCTATTTACTGTCCAACATGTCTGAAAATTGGACATAAATGTCAAGAAAAGGGGCAGAGATTAGCTATACAGCCTGAACAAGGAAGAATGGGAAAACAAAGGACTATATGGCAAAAGAAGAATGAGGAAGTTCATCAGAAAGATAATGTGGCTGAAATTGAACAGGGGAAACAGATGATGAAAAAGGCAGATAAACAACAGCAGGAACAAAGGGGACAATGGACAGAAGTTAGAGGAAAGTCAGCAAGTAAAAATGGGCAGGTTACAATTAGACAAGACAAATTGGCAGTTACCAATACTTTCAGCTCTCTTGGAAGTAAACAACAACAAATGCTAATGGATAAAGGGGTGAATGTAGAATGTGGACAGTGTAGTCAAGGAGAGAAGGTGAGTGATCCTCCTGATTCTAAATGCTAAAGATTGTTACATGGAATGTGCGGGGCCTGAATAAAGTTTATAAACAGGCTGAGTTGGAAAAGTTTATAAAGAAGAATAATATAGCATTAATTGCAATATTAGAACATAGGGTGCAAAGGAAGTATGCTGAACAAATAATAAGGTGGATTGATGCAGGATGGCATTGGTGTTCAAATTATGATGCAAATGAAAGGGGCAGAATTTGGATATTATGGAATCCAACGGAAGAAGTGTTTACTGAGACATATACATCCACACAACTTATTCATGGGGTTGTGAAGATGTGTAACTTGAATGTAGATTTCCAATTAACAGTGGTGTATGGATTGCATACTGTGGTAGCTAGAAGAACATTATGGGATGAATTAACAAAAATAGCAATCACTCAGAAGGAAGCATGGATAGCAATGGGAGATTATAATACTATACCACAACATACAGATAGAGTCCAAGGGAGCATAGTGCAAGAATATGAAGTATCTGATTTTAAGAAGTTTATGATAGATTCTAATATGGTGGAATTGAAAATGAATGGTAGAAGATATACATGGACTAACAGCCATGTACACAGTAAGATTGATTGGGGTCTTGCTAATAGTGAATGGATGAATAAATGGGCTCATGTGGAGGTGACAACACTTGATCCATATTTCTCAGACCATACACCTCTTGTTGTTGAAATAGGAGGAAGGGGAAGTAAAGGGGCCAAGCCATTTAAATTTTTTAATCACTTGGCTAAACATCCAGAGTTTATAACACTGGTGAAGAAGACATGGGGCAGTAGGCAGCATAGTAAGGGAATGGAAACAGTCTGGTACAAATTGAAGCAAGTGAAACAAGAACTTAAAACACTAAACTGTAAAGAATTCTCAGAGGTGACAGAGAAGGTGAATTATTATAGACAAGCACTGATAGACTTGCAGGTTGAAACAAGAAACTATAGGAAGCAGGAGGAGCTGGCAGATGAAGAAAAAGAAATAAAGCAACAGTTAGAGAAATGGGTGGAAATAGAAGAGAGCATATTCAAGCAAAAATCAAGAGTGAAATGGCTGCAATTAGGAGATGCCAATAATGCTTATTTTCATGCGTGTATGAAGAATAGAACTGCCCAAAATCAAATTCAAAGACTAAACACTCTTGATGGACATATAGCACAGAATGAAAAGGAAGTGGAACTGGAGATTGTCAAGTTTTATCAGACACTACTGGGAACAGCCACAAAGGAGTTACCGGTAATCCAACAAGATGTTATGGAAGAAGGAAACAAGGTAAGAAGAGAGCAACAACTGAAATTGATAGAGGAAGTTACAAAGGAAGAAGTGTATAATGCCTTGAGAGAAATTGATGATCAAAAAGCTCCAGGGTATGATGGATTTAATTCTTTTTTTTTCAAGAAAAGCTGGGGGATAGTTGGAGATGATATTACTAATGCTGTATTGGATTTTTTTCAAACTGGAGAAATGTTCAAGCCTATAAACTGCACAGCTGTTACACTTATTCCAAAGGTCAGGAATCCATTAACAATAAAAGAATTTAGACCCATATCTTGCTGCACAGTGGTATATAAAATCATCTCAAAGATTATTACAAAGAGGCTACAGGTGGTCATGTCTGACTTGATTGATCAAAGCCAGTCTGCCTTTGTTCCAGGAAGAATCATAAGTGATAATATCATCCTAAGCCATGAACTCATAAAGGGGTATGGAAGGAAAAACATATCGCCTAGGTGTATGATAAAAATTGATATGCAAAAAGCTTACGACTCGGTGGAATGAATTTATATTGAGCAAATATTATATGGACTGCAGTTTCCTACTAAGTTTATTAGTTGGATAATGAGCTGCCTGAGGACAGTCTCGTATTCAATTAATATTAATGGGAAACCTAGTAAACCATTTGATGCAAAAAGAGGGCTTCGATAAGGGGATCCCATGTCACCTTACTTGTTTGTTATTGCCATGGAATATCTAAGCAGGTTGCTGAAGAAGATGGCCAAGAATTCTGCATTCAAGTTTCATCCGAAGTGTGCTAAAACAAAGATTACTCAGCTGGGATTTGCAGACGATCTACTGCTGTTTTGCAAAGGGGATAAAGAGTCTGTACAACTGCTGTACACATGTTTTAAGGAGTTCTCAGAGGCATCAGGGCTGATTGCAAATGCTAGCAAAAGTGCAGTATATTGTGGTGGAATGAACCAAGTGCTACAACAACAGATATTGCAAGTGCTTGGATTCCCTAAAGGTGAATTGCCTTTTAGGTATCTAGGTGTTCCCTTGAGCTCAAAGAGGCTGGCCATTGCTCAGTGTCAGCCTTTGTTAGACAAGATGATAGGCAGAATCACAACTTGGACATCAAAGTTCTTATCGTATGCTGGGAGAGTTACGTTGATTAAAAGTGTGCTATTCTCAATCCAGACATTCTGGTCCCAAGCTTTCATTATGCCGAAGAAGAGTATTAAGGAGGTGGTGGCAATCTGCAGAAAATTCTTATGGAGAGGAGAGGCAAATGGAACAAACAAAGCATTGGTTGCCTGGGAGACATTGTGCCAACCCAAAACTGCAGGTGGAGTGAACTTTGTTGATGTAGAAATCTGGAACAGAGCTGCAGTATGTAAATAGCTCTCGAACGTGTGTAAGAAGAAGGACAAAATGTGGGTAAAATGGCTTCATGCATACTATGGGAAAACGAGACACGTTTGGGAAGCTAAGTGTACACAAGCTTCTTGGATAGTACAAAAAATATTAAAGGCTCACAGATATGTTGAACAAGCTGGAATGACAATGGAAGAGTTTAACAGTATAGAGCAATTCTCAACAAAAGACATGTATAAGAAGCTGATGGGAGATATACCGAAGGTGGAATGGAGGAAATTGGTGTGTAACAATCAGAGTGCTCCTAAATGGCAATTCATACTATTATTGGCAGCACATAAAAGATTATACACAAGAGATAGATTAAAGAAGTGGGGAGTAATACAAGATGCAACCTGCCCTATGTGTGGAGTTGTTGATGAAAGTATTGCACATCTATTTTATGAATGCAAGATGTCGAGAGAAGTTTGGCAAAAATTGCTACAATGGCAGGGAATCCTAAGACAACCTATGAAATGGGATGATGAGATAAAATTGGCTATACTGCACCATAACAGGAGGAATGTGACTGATGAAGTATATAGGATGACAATAGCTGGAAGTGTGTATCAGATATGGCAAGAAAGGAATATGAGAGTATTCCAACAGAAACAAAGGCCAGCGAAGCAGATTGTAAGAGTGATTATACAAGAGATCTTTGTTAAGGCGAGTATGAACGTGAAGATAAGGAAGAAGCTGCAGAATATGAATTACTACTCATGAGAAAATGTAGCTTGATGAAATAGTGCACATAAAAGATAGGAAAAGATAGGAAAAGATAGTAAAAGATAGGAAAAGGTAGTACTGAAGGTTAGGACTATGTCTAACCCAGTGATGTGATTATGTTTTTTGTTTCTCTTGAGCTGTACACTATTTTTTTGGTGAATAAAGATTTAGTTACCAAAAAAAAAAATATTCAAACCGAATCAACCGATACCGAACCGAATCAACCGAAACCTAAAGGGAAAAAATCGAACCATTCTGAATTTAATTAGGTACGGTCTTAGTATAGCATTTTCAGAAATCGAATACCAAAAATATCGAACCGAAATATCTAAATACCGTACCGACCGATGGACACCCCTATTTTGAACCGGTCATTTAAGAGATTTAAATAATCCTAGATTAGTGGAAAACTGTTTGCTCAAATGGCAACATCAATGTCGTAATCTTATCATCTTTGTGTTGGTCAAGGTGATAATTACCCTCAATCCGAAGCAAGTAAGAATTAACTATATGAATTCAAATAATGTGCTTTATTCTACCATCTTCAAAAGTGTACAGGACAATAAAAAAGAAACTGCTCATAACAATTAAAGCAATTAAACTCGACTATATGGATCATCATTATCCATTTCGTTCTACGTGAACTCATAACATTCTAATACTCGTTACTTTCCCATTCTTTAACATTACAGGTTCTCTATATTTTTTATTAACCTTCAGATCTCTAAAACAGACTAAAAAAGGCTCCTAACAAATATCAAACATAAATATCAATCTACCAATCCAAACTAATTATATAACAGCCTGTTTGGCCGGCCAAGCATTTTCAAGGGCAAAAACACTTTTTTTTTCTTTCGAAAAAAGTGCTTTTTTTTTTAGAGTTGAAGTGTTTGGTCAAGCTTTTAGAAGGAAAGAAAAAATGCTTGAACATATGCAAAATCAGTTTTGAAAAAGCATAAAAAGTAGCTTATTTGTAAAAGTGCCTTTTTAAAAGCACTTCTAAGAAAAATATACTTAGAAACACTTTTAAAACACTTGGTCAAACGCTAATTGCTGCTTAGAAGTGCTTTTCAAATTAATTAGCCAAACCACAAACTGCTTCTGACAAAAAGTACAAAAAAAAAACACTTCTCAAAATAATTTGATTTTAGAAACTTGGCCAAACAGGCTATAAATCAGAAAGATTGTATGATCTTTTTAAACTACCTCAAGCTACACTCTTTCATTTAGGGATTTTTACCTTCCTATACCACATATGAAACCTTATTACCCTCAATGTTTAAGGTTTGAGTTAATTACATTTCAGCATACCAAATTATCATTTGTATACCATAATTAATTTAGAGGCATAATTAATTGGCAGCTTTTTACTCCTTAATTAAAGGTGTCCATATATCCCACGTTTCTCTCTCCCCTTAATTCCCAAGATCTGACCAGCACTGTTTTCCCCCTCCCATTTCTTTCTCTTCTCCATTCCTTCTTCTTCTCAAAAAAATACAGAGATGAGACCCATTTTTTATAATTAGATTTTTAGCCAAAGAGATTCAATATGAAACCCATTGTAAATCCCATACAATAATAACGCCAAATACTGGCGGTGGCTGTGGCCAACACCAATTTGGTACATATACAACCCTGAAGATTTCATTAAGGAGTAATCATGGGCCTTTGACAAGGATGAAGATGAAATAAGAAAGGTTGGTTTATTTGTAATTTTTTTTTGTGAAATTTTGTAGATGAAGAGAAAATTTTGTAGTCAATATATTTTTTCAACATAGATTATAGTTTAATTGTAGTAATTTTATAGATACCCTTAAAAACAATACAACTTTATACAATACTTAAACTGATTTGTAGTTTATTTGTAGAAATTTTGTAGATAAAGAGAAAATTTTGTAGTCAACATTTTTTTTCAACATAGATTGTAGTGTAATTGTAGTAAATGTAGTACTTTTGTAGATACCCTTCAAAACAATACTGCTTTATACATACGTAAACTGATTTATAGTTTATCTGTAGATTTTTTGTAGAAAATTTGTAGATTAGGAGAAAATTTTATAGTCAACATTTTTTTTCAACATAGATTGCAGTTTAATTGTAGTATAAATGTAGTAATTTGTAGATACCATTAAAACAATATTGCTTTATACATACTTAAACTGATTTGTAGTTTATTTGTAGATTTTTTGTAGAAAATTTGTTGACTGGAGCTAGAGGAATGGAAAATTTGATTCTCTTTTTCTTCTTCATGGGAGACTCCCCGAAATTAGATTTCAATGTATCTTCAGGCGCAACAAATTGCTGGTTAATCTCGGTAATGGATGATGTTGGAGACATGAGTTGACTTACTGGGCGTGGATTAAAAGTTGCAGGCGAGGACGTGAAAAATGAGGAAAGAGAAGCCTGCAGAAAAAGGAGGAAACAAATCTGATGTGAATATGAAAAAATATTTAGTCCCAAACTTTTAGGCGCCTAATTTGGAAGGAATAAGCTATTCAAATATTTATCCCAGATTTGTAGGCGCCTAATTTGGAAGGAATCAGCTCTTAATATTGGATATTTAATGAATGGTATAAATTTTGTAGGAAAAATATAAACATGGCGGGTAATAATGAAATTATGCACATTTTTAGTAATAAGGTTTCATATATGGTATAGATAGGAAAAAATCCCTTCATTTAATCCTTTATATGTGTTCGGAAACAACCTCTCTATCCCTCGGGGCAGGAGTAAGGTCTGCATACACACTACCCTCCTCAGACTCCACTAGTGGGATTTCACCGGGTCGTTGTTGTGCTATTTTGTATCTTCAGTCTATCTCGAATGTAATCAAAACTAACTGATCTTGTCTAATCTTATATGATTATTAGACATTACCCTTAATTCTTTATCAAGCGTCATTAAAGAAAATCTTGAATCCTTATATGCAACTTGTTTAACTTTTACAATGTACTATTTGGCAATATTTCAGATATATATTTACATAATAAGATCATCACTTCAGTCTACTGAGTAGTATTTGCTCTTGCCATCAACTGCACTCATTTAGTCTGTCAAAATTGCCAAGCAAGTTGAAATAACTGCTTGTTAAATTCAAGAAAACAAAACATATTTGTGTGTATCAACTAGAACACTAGCTACAATGTCTGCTACTCCAGATCAGTGCATACCTTATTCTCGACGCATGTTAGTGACCTGGAGCTTGGTACATGAACTGCAATATTACCAAAACTGTCGCCGACAGACCCAAGCTCAATCTCATCATCATCGCTATCGAGTTCTTTTGGAGTAACTCGGTTTTGATAGCTCCGACGTCTGATAAGGAATACATTGAAGTAATAGCTAACCAACATATTCCTAGTCTTGGATGGAAGTAGTTTCTTAGAATTCTTCCATTTGTTATTCGACATAGCACTTGACCTTACCATATCTTTGAATCTCTCTTCCTCTTCAGCTGTCCAAGAAAGTGAAACTTCTTCTCCCATGCGATCAAACCTCCATCGGTTGAACAAAGGACCGAGCTCGAGCTTCAATTTAAACCTCTTCTCTGCGATATGGAACCTGATGCATTCAACAGATTGTGGAAATCGACAACCACATGAACTTCGTCTTCCCTCCCCTATAGGATCCAACTCAACCAAAGATTTTGTTGTTTCCACTTCGGGAGGCCACATTCGCGTGCCTAACCACTTGGAATCACTCTCAGAAATTACCCCCGACCATTCAGGGACTTCAGCTTGGTGGAGAGGACCCACAGAAACTTCAGGGTGTGTTTGCTGATCCCCCGAGTCATCAATTTTTTCGGTTACTGATACCTCAACGCTTGTAAGATCTGGCCTAATATCCTCTTCTTCTTCCTTCTGATGAGTAGCAGCTTTGTTATGCAAGGTTGAACATGAGTTACAACATGGACAAGGAGCATGTTTTGGTGAAACGGGGATCCTTTTGCTGCATCTTAGTTTTTCTGCAGGTTGATTGTTGAGTCTTTCATCTTCATACATGGACGGATGCATCCTCTGCTTCTTCTGCTGATTTACATCATGACAAAAACGGATAACGAATAGCTCTCAATAGATATATACTTGAGAAGTCATAGGAGACACATTGTACAAGTTCAAATTTCTGACTACCAGGAAAAGATGTGTGACAAAATAAATCACAAGGGTTCGGATTCACATAAACATTTAGGTGGTGAATCATGAATGTACCAGCAGTAGCAAAAAATTTTAGGTCAGCCATAGCGGAGATAAAAGGTGCTTCCCAGCTTATCATCCTTTTAATACATTACTTTTTCTTTGGCCAAGAGAGATCCTTATTAGAAGAAAGATTTACTAGCACAACACCGTCAGGAAATTGCCAAATATTCAAACATCAGCTCAGCAAGGAGATGGGATATTTCTATTTTCTAAGAAATGGATTTTGGGCCTAACTCAACCTCAAAAACTAGCTCATTAGATGAGGACTGCCCAAGACTATATAAGGAGACAATAACTCATTCCTTCAATCAAGCAGGACACTTAAACACCTCTCTGCAGTCTGCACACCCAGGACTGAACATCCGGTACGTGGACAATATCACATGGGGGCCTAACATTACAAAAACCAAGAATAGGGATGGATTCGGCTTGATACCATGTTAAGAAAAGGAATAACTATTTAAAACACAGCAAAGAAATGGAAAGAGAGATAACCAGGAGAAGGGAGGGACAAAACAAAATAAAAATTAAAATGGGAGCATGCCGAGTTAAATTCTATTTGCAATCAAATCACCCTAAAAGTACAAAGACCATAGGATATCTCAGTCATTGTGTTCTGCCAGAGTTGCAAGTGCAGACATAGTGCCGTAGGGGAAAGCGGTCAATTCCTTCCCTCTCCCAGAGGGTTAAACTTGAAACAGAAAACAAAAGTCATCAACTCAAGTCGTAATTTGTGCATCTCAAACTTGACCTCTCTTAACCTGGAAATTGTCTAGTAGCATGTACCTTTTGAACATTGAGATAGACTACGTACTACTACTAATGGGACATCAGTAAATTTCCAAAAGAAAAAGGAAAGTGCAGCAACAAAGAAAAGATAGATTGGTAAAGATTAACATAAAGCCAAAAGTTGAAGCCCATCTGAAGGAGCATAAGCTGTAGTTCTAGCCTTTGAAATTCAACTATGAAGGATATTTGTAAGTTCAAATACCCCGAATGAGCCCGAATTGGTAATATCACTTAGCCACATCTGTTTAGCATTACCCGTTGTTGTGCTTGACAACTGACATAAAGCCGCACGGGAAAACAAAAGATGAAAAGAGATCCAAATACTGGCAGTATGGATCGATCTTTTGCCTTGGGGAACTTTGAAAGGAAAATATCAGTTTTGGTTCTTGGAGTTGTGATACGCTAAATTTGTTATGAGAAATGATGAACCACTTTACCATTTTGGCCTAATATGTGCCAAGTGACTTGGTTATAGTAAGGAAATTGGTGTTCAAACTTGAAAGAAGTGAAAAAAAATCCCCCGACAAAGGGTGTTCAAACACGTTATATACCTCTAAAACTTTAAATTTATCCTATATACACAGTGTAATCGCCCCTGATAGTAAGGCTACAACGACTATCTAGTATTTGATAGAACATGTGTAACATAATATTTAATATTATGTAACACCAATTCAAGGCATTGGTCGACCACAAGTAAAATGAGCCATAGATGTGATTCCCATTTTGATTAATTCTGAGAAAAGTAATATAAAGAAATCATATTTAAAGGCCCCTGGCATGTAACAAGCAATCCGCCAATGCTACAAAAAATCATGGAAGATAAAGCAATAGTGAACAAAACATTTGCCGATCAGCCAATTAGATTGAATAAGGATCAGATAAATACCTGAGGGTTAGATTCCTCTGCATTTGTATCAATATGCCTTCTCTTCAGCAGTGCTTCCTTAACCAACAAGACCTGGAACCAGAACTCGTTGCTTGTATGACCTTTCCACTTGGAAGATTCAGGAACTTCTCCAATTTCAGGATCATTCGAATGTTTTGCCGCGTGATTAATCCAATTCAACATTCCTGAGAAACATGAAGATTCTCTTTTTCTCTTGCGAGAATCAAATACATTCTCAATAACACTCTTGGCTGATGCAGCTCTCTGAATCACCTCTCCGTTAGATGTCACTTTATTTTTACCATCGTGGGCAAAGAAATTTTCGTCATCATCATATTCATTATTTGATTTGTCAGGTGCTTTATAAAGGACCTTCTCGACAATCCCCTCGGCAGATACCAAAAAAACATAGTCATCGTCCATCTTAGAAACGGATATTTCATCGCTATTGTAAAGGTTACCGTTCCTGTTTTCAGCACTGTAACTTCTTCGTGTTGTGTGATCATTGGTTTTATTAACACTTTCAGCAGTAAACATTTCAAAATCAACCTGACCATTTTTCGAAGGAAGCAAATTAGTATCTTTCTTTTTCTGACACCTACGGAGCAACAACCTCCTAAACCTTGTCTCCAACTCCTTTGACAACAAATCAAGTCGGCGAATAACCCCACCCTCTCCTTTCTCCAAGTTTCCATCTTTACAAAACTGCCTTAGCCAATGATCAAATTCAGCCAAATACTTAACATAAACCAACTTCACAAATGCAACAGCCCCAACATCCAACCCACAATGCTCTGCAATAAAAGCCCACAAATTCTTGCTCGAAACACGGTCATATCCACCTATTTTCCTCACAATCCAATAAAGTTTAAACAAATCCAGAGGCTGCCCACTACTGGTCATAACTGGAAGAGGCCTTAAACATTTTTTCTCAGTTACCTCACTTAGAAAAACAGAAAGAACTTGATCAAACAAACTCTTTAGCCTATTCTTACTACAGCCATCAATGCCATTTAATTCTACTGTAAGATTAATACCAGAACCACTCTCACCATTTCCTTTATGAACCTGAGACTCATCATTTAAACTTGACCATGCTTCCATTAACTCAAAAAGATTGTACCCTTTCTGGGGTTTTCAAGCACAACCTATGTTAATCAAGAAATGACTAAATCCATAATCCAAAAAACAAAAAAGAGGCTACATGAATGCTGATAAAAAGCTGGAAAAAAAGAAGTTAAAACAGGAAAAATAAAAGTGATACCCAGTACTATACTGGCAGGCAATAGCAGGTACCTGGTGGAATAGTCGAGATGCGCGCAAGCTGGTCGAGACACCGTCATCAAAAACAAAAAATTAATCAAGAAATAAACTTGAGACTCATTTAAATTTAACCAAAGCTTCCATTAATTCAAAAAGATTATAATTTTATGGGGTTTTCAAGGCACAACCTACATTAATCAAGAAATGACTAATTCCATTTACATAACAAGAACCAATACAGAGAGAGAAAAAAATAGATAGGCTAAATAAATGTTGATAAAAGCTGAAAAAGGATCAACAAAAAAAAAGAAAAGTAATGGCAATCTATACTAATTAAGCTGTTCTATTGGAATTATTTACCTTTGCTAGTGCTGTTTTATAAAATTTCTTCAAGCCCCCTACCACCTTTCATTTTGTAATTTTTTTCCCTTTTCTTGAACAGCTATGGAGAAAATACAGGAACCCCAGCTGAGATTGAGTGAAAAACTATTCCTTTTTTTTTTTAGGGGGGGGGGGGGGGGGTTGTTGTGGATAAAAGAATTTATGAAAATTATTATGAACAGAAGCAGCTGGTTTTTTGACAGCTCAAGAAATGTTGTTGACAGGTGTTTTAAGGGTTTTTTGATGTCTGAGATTATGTGAATTTGCAACAAAACATTCTTGGAAAAATCAAATTAGAAAAATGAAAGATTAGGGATTGATATTAATCTAAACCTCAATGAAGTATTGAACCCTAACAATTAATATAATGATAAAAGAATATATAAAGTTTATAATGAGGATGAAAAAAAATATTGCTTGGTCCATCCGCTTGTGTCTTTTATCTCATCTTGAGATTTGATCATCACCGTTGAATTAATCAATTTGGAAAATAGTACTTTATTCGTTTCAAAAGAATAAAAGAGTAAAGTAGGAGATAATAAAATTTATAATGTTCGTCTTAATCATATTAAAGTAAATTTACGTTATTTTAAAGTAGATAAACTTCTATAAATTACACTTCCGGCACACTAATTAAAAGAATAATTTGAGTAAATTATCATTATGTTTTCATTTAATGAGTAATTAATGAAATTAGAGGAATTTTTTATGTCGGAGATTTTGTGAATTTGCACAAACGTTCATGGAAAATTAAAAGTTAGGAAAAAAGGATTAATTTTTTGGGAACATGATATAATACGAAGTCGTAATTATAATATATATTCCCTCCGGTCCATAATAAGTGACCAATTTGAATTTTTATTATGGTCCAAAATAAGTATCCATTTATATAACCAAGAAATAATTCAATTTATTTTTCCAAAATTACCCTCATGTACGTATCGTTAAAAGGTCTTTTACTCCTCACATTAACTATGCTGCAACATTTAATTAAGGGTAGTTTAGTCATACTAACTACTTTTATCTAGAATTTAGTATTTCCTTAATGGATGTATCCAAAGCAAATCGGTCGCTTATTGTGGACCGGAGGGAGTACCTAATTGAACCCTAACATTTAACTAATAGTAGGAAATGTTAGAAAAATATATGAAATTTTATAATGCTTATCACCGTTGGATTAATAAGTTCGGAAATTGTACTCCTCCATCTCAAGAAAAATGAAGGGGTTCATAGTAGGAGTAATGGACTTTTTTACTATCTTTTAATATCAATTTGGACATTAATTTATTAATTGCTTTAATATAATATTTACAAGATCAAAAACTAGATAAGAATACTATAAATCACGACTTTTTATAATTTGACATTTTTAAAATTAGGCTATATGAATGTGTATTTACACCCGAATCTTGTAATAATCTGATCTTCGAAAAGGGAAACTCTTATCCTAGATTTGGAAATTAACTGTGCAATTTGGGTATAATGGATTAGATAAGGTGAGAAATTTATTTTCACGAATTAAATGGGGATTGAGTTTCTATCTAATATTTCGTAATAAATTTTATTCTCATTATCTCCTTTTCCATTCTCCTTTCCTAATTCACTCGTGTAAGAAAAATAGCTTTTGGGAAGAAATGGGGGTCGAGATAACATGTCTAATACAAAATTACAAATTTTAATTTTGCGTATTAAACTTCTGTTTTAAAAGGCAGAATCGGGACTCACCCCAGAGCGGAGCACTCATAAAATGCCCCTGGGCTTATGTGTGGGGCTTAGTTCCGTGAGGTTTACGCCCTGGACACGCCCACGCCCGGCGTACTGGGCTCGCCTAATAGAACTTTGTGCAATTGAGTGTGACTAACCTTGTAAATGCACAAATTTTCTTAATAAATCGTTGACTATTCAAAATTACTTTTTTTCTTAATAAATTGTTAAGTTGAGAGTATTTTATGTCATAATTAAAATAAAATTATTGCATATTATCCACTAAGACTGCTACGATAGTAAATTTTAAATAAATCTTTCATTTAAAAAATAATTATTTATTAACTTTTGTAATTTCTTTATTATATAATAGTCCATAATTGTTTTATAATTATTTTCCTAAATATTTTTTTCATGTTTACGTGATACAATACTTATTAATTTAATAGCTTAGTATTAGCTATTAACTATTTACAAATAATTAGTTATCATGGTATTGTATGGTGAATTATGTGTCACTTTATTAACTTGTTGAAACTTAAAATTAAATGATGCTAGGGAATCATATTTAAGTTGTGAATAATGTTTTTATATAAATTCTCTTTCAAATAGAAAGCATATTAAATAAAATGAGTATTTTATAAAAGAATATCAAATTATAATATAATTTTTCAAGATTCATTACGCCTTAAGAGATACGTATAAAATTTTGTATCGAATACATTACTTTTGATATTTGAGTTGTAACGGCGTTGCAGCTAATCTGCATATTATGATATATGTCATACTTTTCGTATTACTCATGGTTGAATTATAATTTATAAATATTTTAAATAGATTATTTATTATAATTTTGTGATTTTAATGCAACTTTTATAATTATTTTTTATTTTATACTATCTTAAAATTCTTGAAATTAGATAAATTTAAAGATCCGTGGGACTTACGCCCCATGTCTCAGGGCTTACGCCTCGCCTCGTTAGAGGTGAAACACCTCACCCTACGCCCCGCCTTTTAAAACATTGTATTAAACCAGTCTTAAATGTCAAATTAGACGAGATGTCACATGTTGATCCATCATTAGACTTTTGTGTAATTCGATTTATTAAAGTTATAAAAAATGGCTGGTAATGTTTTCCATGATTACAGATATTTAATTGTAGCAACACTGGGTGTAATTCTCCCTTCTTTTTATTAAAATATAGTTTTTCTATTTTTAGTTGTTTCAAAGCAACTATATATATATATTGTGCTCAAGAATTTTACCATACTTCATTTATTTATCCCTTTGTCTATGGGGGTCGGTTAATTTACCGGTTTTTTGGGTATTAAAATTGAGGGTCTGTAATTTGTTTTTTAGCTTGCCGCGTGTTCCTTTGTCTAAATTAGTAGCAAATCGGTGTCATAATATATAAAACAGTTTTGAACCACGTTTTACTTATTTTGTGGGCCCACCAATAACTCTTATGCGCTTAACTGACATAACAATAATTCAAATATGTAAAACGCCCTTTTAAAATGCGTTTTACTTCCAAAAATTTGACCCCCCCCCCCCCCCGGATTGTGCATTGTCTCGTTTAAAGGCGATAAGGGTTTTGCAAAAATTCATTCAGAAACAAGTTTCAACTCCTGATAAATTTTTCTTCTTGTTAAATTCTCAAGCTTTTTTTGATAATGTCTGAAGAGCGAAAAGTAAGGGTTTTATTATATTGGGGGGTGAGGTTGTGGTGGTGAATAACTCAGTGAGCTATAGTTTATCTCCACATAGTCATGTTAAGTTGCCATTTACAATGGAGTACGATAGACATGTATCGTTGTTTGCAATAAAATGAGGTTGAGCAAACGTTCGGTGAATCTTAAAATAACCGGAAGATATCCGTATTCTGTGACTCCGCAAGGGGTTGCTTGTTACGCTGAATTTAACATCGAGGATGATGAAACTCTGAGAGATTTTTTGGGGACTCCGGATGAATACTGGGAACTTATTTTGATAAAAATATTAGAAATGTACGTGAAAGTTGAAGACGTTCGCAATAATGAGGATGCGCAAAGTAGGGATAACCCTCAATCATCAGGTGGTTATTCTGAAGCAGTATTAGCCGAACAGGTTCCGGTTGAAAGAGTTTGGCCGGATCTAAACTTATCTCCACGGGCGAACGAGGAGCGAGGAAACAATTTCTCTTCTACTTTACATAATCCACAAGACGACTGGTAAACTTCAATTTTCTTTTATGTTACGATGTTTATTTTTGTTGTATTGAATTTGTATTAACACTCATATATTCCACAGGGGGTACCGTCCAGATATGAATTTTACAAGTTATGAACCCACGCACAGTTGGAATATGGGTAGTTTTGGTGTGTTGGATCACGGTGGTCCATCCGGGAGTCATCACCAGCAGGATAATGTCCATCATGGAATGTCAACACATTACGACTTGCAAGTAAAGTGATATAGCTATATGTAAAGTATTTATCAATTTGAGTAGCTTATTTTTTGTTGTTTGTGCAGTAAAAACGAGCAACTTGATGGCCCTGACCTCAATTAGTTGCCCGTAGACGACATATTTACTCGAGATTTAGCAGATGCGCAGAGTTAGGAAGATAATAGTGATTATGACAACAATGCCGATGAGTCTCAAGATGACACACCCTTCCCTGACGAGGGTGATGATAAGGAGGAAGAGAATGCCGAACCTGAGCTGACGAGGGAGCATGCTCTATCTCCTGTTATACCAAGAGTGTACGAGTCCCACGTGTCGTTTCATTCAAGGCATATTCCCTACCTTTATCATTTGCCAAGTATGTCGGATGTGGATGCCCTTACAAGGGATCTTGATGAAATTCGGACAGTAATGTGAGATGGGTCTAGACCATCGGTACTGGCAAAGTGCATGCTTTTTCCTGATAAAGCTCGCCTAACCAGACTGCAAAAATATACAGCGTAAGAGAGTGTCATGAGATGATGGCATGGGAGTCAAGTCCGGATCTATACAAGGTTGTTTGCCGTAGATGGTTTACGGGTTGTCATTGGATGCTGCGTGCGACCAAGAAGGAAACAGGGTTGTGGAAAGTGGGTAAATATATTGGCACCCACCATTGTGAATTGGACACATTCAATGGGAATCACTTTAACTTGGATGTTGACTTGATTTCTCTTCAACTGATTCCACACATTGAAGCGTCCATAAGGTACAAGATCAAAGAGTGTATTACATCCGTCCACCGGGAATATGGGTGTACTATTACCAAAACAAAGGCATATCTCGGGCGCAAACGTGCATTTGAAATTGTTTATGGTGACTGGGATAAGTCATTTACATCTCTACCCAGGTACATGGCCGCAAACGTGCATTTGAAATCGTTTATGGTGACTGGGATAAGTCATTTGCATCTCTATCCAGGTACATGGCCGCATTGAAACACTTTAACCCCGGCTGTTGTTGAATGGAAGCTTGAGCGGAGTGCAGGAATACTGGAATATATATTCAGATATGTGTTCAGAGTGCATTGCCGTCCGGTAATTTCCATACACGGTACTCATGTCTATGGAAAGTATGACATTAAGTTGTTGATCGTCCTTGCAGTAAATACCAATGAACAAATATTTCCACTAGCTTTTGCCATCTGTGCC